TCCCAGTCCTATGTCATTATATTCAGTTTTACTTCCCCCTGTCTCCTTAGCCCTAATTTCTCCCAGCTGTGTCTCCCTACTGTTTTCCATTCCCTTATTACTCCACTGTGTATTTAAGCCCTGTGTTTGCTTTTGTTGTGTTGTAACCTCTACATGCTGTGTGTTTGTCATGGTCCAGTGCCTCTGTTCTGAGTTTTGATTTTTGTGAGTTTTATTTTATGAGGAGGTTTTGCCAGCAATAAAAGCTGCGTTTTGAGTTCCAGTCCTGCGTTTTCTGTGCTTTTTCCTGTCTGCCTGCCACACAGCCTATCATGACAAGTGTAGGGTAAGAGTTAAGGTTGTGTTTGGTTTCAGTTGAAGTTGAACATACCTGAAGACGCAACCTGAACCAGGAAATCCCTTCAAACTGAACAAGCCTGTAAAACCAAATGACTCTTGTTAATTCTTCAGTTTAACTCTAACACGCTGAACATGGTGGTGAAGCTAGTGATCCTGTTCCTCCTTTGTCACACTGCATCTGCAGGTAAGATCATGAACCACAATCAAAAAATATATAACATTCACTTGGCAATGCTATTCTTAGTAAAATGCAACTAAAATGTATCAGCAGACAGGTAAATCTAACTGTAACAATTTTTAGTTAAAAAGACTAACAATGTATTTACAACAGATCTAAATAAATGCACTGCTCTTGTGAGCACAGTAACTTTTAGACAGCTAGTCAAGTCTGTGTGTTCAGGATGGTGTGTATTAGATGCGGAAAGAGACACTTCAGAAACTACTTAATCTAAACACACAGAACCTTTAAAAACAGATATGTACATGGTAGAGCATTGATCATTACAAAATATAATTAAGTTTAAAGATACCCAAAACCAGAAAAGTTTTCATTTGCCAAGCATACAAAAAGTTGCTGGTTCAATTCCAGCTGGAGAATTGCCATACTATCTGGCATAAAACTATTCCAAATCAGATACTGCTGTGGTGATTTTCAATAAATAATAACAAAAGATTGTAAACAAAGGACAATGCACCCCTTCTCAAGGATTCACAAGAATCAGTTTCTATAGGAGAATCAAGTAAGGACTCCTACATTTTTGAGGAAACATATTTCTGCAGAAATAGCGATGCAAAGTGCGATATTGATGTTTGGACATTGTGTTGAGCTGTTTCTTAAAACACCTAGGTTACATGTCCAGGACTAGATGATGTTTTAGTGCACTTCACATCAGTTTCAACAGGTCACTTACCTGGTGCTTCTGAGCACTGAGTTCCAAGATTTCCGTGTTTTTATGAACCAGAGTCATTTGTAATGAGCAAATTAATGTTTTTGATAATAAAGCTTCTATTTATTAAATGCACATGGTTTTCTTTCTTTTTTTTTTTTTTTTTTTTTTTTTTTTTTTTTAAATTTGTTGATTGGATGGTCTATATTGGTCATCACTTAAACACTGGAATCCAAAGTGTAATTAAACAAATGTAGTCTTAATGGATTAATTACTGGAATGTAGCTAAGAAAGTGAGACAGTCTGATAGGTGAGCTCCATTCACTCTAAATTCATTAAAATATCTCAAATTCTCTAGTTTTAAACATTTTCTTAAATTTTCAACAGAAAATATTATTTGCTGCATTAAGGGACTTCATCCTCTATAACCCATTACTCATGTACTGCACCCCCAGGAGAACGTCTGTTAAAAGCAGGAATTTAATGCCAAGATAATAACTGATTAAAACAAGCAAGTCTGGAATTAACTGAAAGAGTATCCTCTTTCACAGGATATTTTATACATGGATGACATGCCAATACATGACATGGTAAAAATATTTCAGGTATAAAGACCACATATTTAAAGTGTCAGTACACAAAAATAGGATGCCATCCAATTACCACCGTCCTGCCCCGCCTTCATCATTGATTGACCTCTAACCATCCAGAGAGCCCAGCCTGTCCTGCAGAAGAAAGCACCAAGCCGATCAAGTTTTGAAAGAAAAACAATGTAAAAGCAAGTGTGATGTAATTGGCAGTTCTTTGAGC